ATTATCGTCTCTGAGAGATAATCTTACTCGGTATCCTTCCATCATACCCATAGTGGTGTAGAACTCTTTGATGATTTTTACAATTGTTGCTACTTCTTCATGGATTTGCGCAGGGCGACAGAAAAGATGTCCATCGTCTTGTGTGATTGATCTAACGCGAGTTAGACCGGCCAATTGGCCGGTTTTTTCGTCACGATACACAGTCGCTGGTTCGAAGTATCTAATTGGCATATCACGGTATGAGAACTGATTATCTGCAAATATTTGCATGTGGTGAGGGCAGTTCATTGGTTTTACATAGAAGTCTTCTTTTGATGTTCCTCCGTGTACTGAAAACATGTCTTCTAGATAATGTCCTGCGTGTCCTGAAACTTTGTAGAGGTCTTCTTTTGCAAGATGTGGCGTCCACACTCTATGATATCATCTATCTTTGTGGAGTGATCGCAAATATTCTTCTAGTTCTTTGCGGATAACTGTTCCGTTTGGTTGGAATAATGGCAGTCCAGAACCTACTAAATCAGAGATTGTGAATAATTTTAATCTTTGTCCAAGGATTCTATGATCGCGTTTTTTTGCTTCTTCCATCATAGTTTGGTAGGCTTTGAGTGCGTCTTTTGACTCAAAAGCAAGACCATAAATACGAGTCATTTGTGGGTTGTTTTCGTTTGCTTGCCAGTATGCACCTGCAATTTTTTCTAAGACAAATGAACCATCGGCAATCTCTTTTGTAGACTCAACATGTGGTCATTCACACAGGTCTGCAAATGTGATGAATTGGTCTGATGGGATCCCATTTTGTGTGACGATATATTCAGTGAGGCCTTCATAGATTGTTTTATAGGCTGGTCTTACATGGCCAAGAATTCTTTCAGCAGCAGCTTGTGGTATTGTGTTGAAGTAGAATGTGTATGTCGCGTCTGCAGATTGAGAGTTGTCTTGATTATGTGCTTGTTGAGCTGATTCAGCAAATTTTTCAACAAGCTCTTTTTTGAATCTTGTTGCTCCACCATTTGCTTGTCAATCATTGCCAAGAAGTTGCTTCATTTTTTCAATTACGTTGGGTGTACTACCTTCCATGAGTGATAAAATATGGAGCGCTTCTGTCTTATCTTTTGCAGTGTAGAGAATGAAAGCTTGATTTTGCTTTACAATACCTTGCATTGTTTTTGTGAGCTCTTTGAGGTGTTCTTCGTTGATACTGATGCCATCAGAAAAAAGCATGTCGTAGTAAAACCCGTTGTCTATGGCTGGTCATGTACCAAGTGACGCATGAGGGTCTATTGTTTGTTGTACTGCTTGTGCGAGGATAT